TGCCTGAACCCAGGAGGCGGAGGTTGCGGTGAGCCGAGATGGCGCCATTGCACTCCAGCCTGGGTAACAAGAGCGAAACTCCGTCTCAAAAAAAAAAAATACCCAACATTTATACTCCATAGCCATAAAAACGGTGGGCATGGAGGTTACCTGGCTTGAGATGACAAGGACCTTTTTTCAAAGAATAACAGAGCCTGGAGAGGCTTCTGAGATCACCCAGTCCCACTTCCTCATGCAACAGCAAGGAAACTGATGCAAGGAAGAGAAATGACTCCGAGCCCTCGTGCTATTAGCTGAATGCCAGGTTTTTAGGTCTCTCCAATCAAAATGCACCTTGACCCTTAAAGAAACATCACCTCAGAAGGCATACTCCAACAGCTTCCACCAACCATCACTTTACTGATAGGACAAGAGGTCAATGAATTGACTTGCTTACAGTCAGCTGGGCAACTAGGCTGAGAAACCAAGCTTCCTGACACCCGTCCCCCCATGCCAATTTCTCTCATCAGGCAACCACATACCAATATCAGTTCCCATCTGTGAATGATCCACTACGGGCCAGATCCTTAAGGGCAAGGGTTTTGCAGGTAAGACAGTTTTGAAGAGGTGAAGTTACATGCCTATGGTACAGTATCCCCCACTTATCAGTGGTTTCACTTTCCAAGGTTTCAGCTACCTGCCATCAACTTGGCTCTAAAAATATTAAGTAGGACCAGGTGTGGTGGCTCATGCCTGTCATCCCAACACTTTGGGAGGCTTAGGTGGGCGGATCACCTGAGGTCAGGAGTTCGAGACCAGCCAGCCAACATGGCAAAACCCCGTCTTTACTAAAAATACGAAAAAATTAGCTGGGTATGGTGGCAGACGCCTGTAATCCCAGCTGCTTGGGAGGCTGAGGCAGAATTGCTTGAACCTGGTAGGCAGAGGTTGCAGTGAGCCGACATCACACCACTGCACTCCAGCCTGGGCAACAGAGTGAGACTCTGTCAAAATAAATAAATACATACATACAAAATTAGTGGGGCATAGTGGTATATGCCTGTAATCCCAGATACTCAGGCGGCCGAGGCAAGAGAATCACTTGAACCCAGAAGGTGGAGGTTGCAGTGAGCCGAGGTCATGCCATTGCACTCCAATCTGGGCAACAAGAGCAAAACTCTGTCTCAAAAAATAAAAAATAAAAATATGAAGTAGGCTGGGCACAGTGGCTCACACCTGTAATCCCAGCACTTTGGGAGGCCCAGATGGGTGGATCACTTGAGGTCAGGAGTTTGAGACCAGCCTGGCCAACATGGTGAAACCCCATCTCTACCAAAAAATACAAGTATTAGCTGGGTGTGGTGGTGGGCACCTGTAATCCCAGCCACTTGGGAAGCTGAGGTAGGAGAATCTCTTGAATCTGGGAGGCGGAGGTTCCAGTGAGCCGAGATCACACCACTGCACTCCTGCCTGGATGACAGAGCAAGACTCTCTCTCAAAAAACAAAAATATTAAATGGAAGAGTCTAGAAATAATACATAAGTTTTCAATTGCACATCATTCTGAGTAGCATGATGAAATCTCACACCATCCTGCTCCATCCCATCTGGGATGTGAATCATCCCTTTGTCCAGTGTATATTCACCCATTGATCACTTAGTAGCCATGTAGTGGTATCACAGTGCTTGCGTCCAAAGAATCCTTATTTTACTTACTAATGGCCAGAAATCACAGAAGTAGCGATGCTGGCATACTGTTATAACTGTTCTATTTTGTTATTAATTATTGTTGTTAATCTCTTCCTGTGCCTAACTCATAAATTAAACTTAATCACAGGGATGTATGTATAAGATAAAACACAGTCTGTATAGCGTTCGGTACCATCCAAGGTTTCAGGCACTGGGGTCTTGGAACATATCCACTGAGGATAAGGGAGGACTACTGATACATGTGGCAAAGCCGAGCTAGTAGTGTACAACTCTAAAGCTGGCCCTCTTTCCAGTATCTCTCCACCATACACGCTGCCTCAGGGGTCTAAGAAACCTCCAGCGGCAAGGTTTATTTTGCAATTAGGATGGCTGTCCCTGGCATCAAGAACAGATTTCTTCAGACAATCAGCATGACCTAGAACTTCTTTCTTATCTAACAGTCCTTTTGCTATTTCTGATGAAAACTGAAAAGTCAAACAGACTTTACCCAAATAGGAAAAAAAACAGATGAGCAGAACTAGACTCTTGATTGGAAGGACTGAGAATGCAAACTTTAACCAGAAACCATTTCCTCTTATCCTGCCCCGCCCTCTCTTTTTGAAGTGCCAGGAACAGCTACAAAAACAAAGATGACTCCTAGGGCTAAGGGAAGCTTGAGAGCCAAGGCCAAAAAGGTCCTGAAATCTGGAGGTCCAGGCCCAAGGGCACAGACTTTACCTCTCTGAAGGAGAGATCTGGCAGCATCTCCAGAGAGCAGACAGCGAGCCTGAGAGAGAGGTGAATAGAGGGGTACAGTTCCACAAGGCTGACCCCTGTGCCGGACCTGAGGCCTGTGTGTCTAGTGATCTGCAAAAATGAGTTTACATAACAGGCCTTTGTGTTGTCCCAGATAAGAGTGAGTGGAGGAGCTTCAGAATGTTTTAAGGATTTAGAGCCAGCTGAGATTTCCTGAGGACACTGAGGTGGGGAGGAGTGGTGTGGGGGAGGGGCAAATTCAGACCTAATCTGTCTCATCTAGGAGGAAAACAGTAACTGCAGCAATAATAATATATATATTTATATTTGTTATATTTATTTATATTTACTATGTTTATATTTATAAATCTTTGTTTTTAAATAAGAAATGGGTTGCAGTAATGGGTTCTTCTTAGAGGACACTGGGTGGCTTATAGGACAAACACAGAAGGGAGACTTCACTGCATACTCTTTGAAGTTTTTAAAATTTTGAAATTTGAACCATATGAATGGTTTAGCTATTCAAAAATAAGGTAACTTTAAACTATTTTAAGCATGTCCAAAGTTTTCCAACAACCCTAAGAAGGAGGCAGAGCAAAGATTATTAGTCCCATTTCACAGATGAGGAAGTCAGAGGCTCCAAGGAGAAAAAAAATAATTGCCCAAGATTGTGGTAGGGTTGAAGACCCAGATTCTTCAGACTCCTAGTCCAGTGCTCTCTGTCAGAGACTCCATAGTATGTAAGAGAAGCAGCACTCAGACTCACTTTCTAAGTCCCGTTCTCATAGCTAGAGCCAAATGCATCCACAAGAACACTGAAAATGACCACCACATACAAACCCTTACTGACTCGTACAGCATCATCTGTGAGCTGTTGGGTATATCTACACATTCTTGTTAATAACTGATAAATACCCTAAAACTCTTCAACTGTCAAACCAAATCTTTCTAAAATGCCCCATTCCACATTCTTCCCTCAGTGAGTACAATGACCACAATGGCATTTTTATTAGATCCATTCACTCAGAGAATGAATCTCAGGGTCATCTTTACGAACTCAGAGCAAATCAGAAGGGTGGTCAAGTGTGAAAATGAGGACTGGGCTTAGGAGCCAGCCAAACCCTGGATTTTGCCACAGACTTGTAAGTGACCTTGGCCTCAGCTTCTTCTCTATAAAGAAACCAATTAACAGGCACATATTGGACACCATATGTTTAACACTGGCCCACTGGATCCCTGTGTCTTCAAAGAGCTTACCTTCTAAAGGGGGAGACAAAAAAAAAAACAGTTAATTTGAAGCTCTGGTAAGGGTTACAACCAGAAAACAATACAGTTACAGAATAGAGGACCTGGGAGGTCAGGGAAAGCCTCTCAGAAGATGCAGCAGTTACATGGAGATCTAGAGGCAAAGTATGATGGGCAGGGGATCAGATACAAAGGTCCCGAGGCAGGGGTGAGCCCGGCATGTTGAAGGACTAGTGAGGCTAGAGATCAGGCGGTAAAGGGTAGAGATGGGCCTCTGTCTGCCTCTCCAACTTCGTCTCCTTCCAGAGGTCCATCTCTTTGGGGAAGGTGTCTGGAGGTTATTCTGGCTGTAATGGGAAGTAGCTACAGAAATAATTTGATTAAATGTGTGATTCTCAAATGTTTTATTTTTATAGCAGCAAAACTCTTTACTCAAATAACAAGTAGAACTTCAATATACAACTAGATAAAGGTACTGCTCTGACTGGTTGGGAAGCTAGTTAAAGCCCTCTGACCCTCTCTCTGCCCTCTTGGCCTTTCTCCTTACCTTTTGGTACCTCCAAGCTCAGAAGAGCTGGAAAATCACCAGGTGATCCATCTCTAAGCTTCCTCAAGCTCTAATAAAACCCAGCATCATTGTAAAGAATCACAGGGAAAACTCTAGGAGATAAGACTGGATGCTTGTTAGACAAGCATCCCAGACTTCCAGGACAGGCCCTGGGAAGGTTTATTTTATTTTATTTTATTTTATAACAGATACTGAGTCTCACTATGCTGGTCAGGCGCATCTCAAACTGCTGGCATCAAGCAATCTTCCTGCCTCAGCCTCCCAAAGTGCTGGGATTACAGGCATGAACCACCATGTCGAGATCCTGGGAAGGATTTAAACTAAATCCCTGATGTGCACTTGCTTTTCAAAGAAAAAAACAACAATAAACTCTGGTTCATCAAGGGTTTCAGTTAAAATCACACTGCTGAAAGTACAGGGACAAAAAACAGATCGGGGGTTGCCAGAGGATGGGGCGAAAGAAACTGACTACAAAGGAACAAAAGGAACTTTCTGGGTTGGTGGAAAAATTCTTGATCTTGGTTGTGATGTGGTTGCATGTCTGTGTATGTCTGTCAAGTTTATAGACCTGTGCACCTCAAGTGGTAATGGTTTACTGTGTGTAAATTAGACCTCAAAAAACTTAAAAATCACACTGCCAAAAGACTACTCAGAGGCACTTTGCAGATGGAGGAGGGAAAACAGCTTGCTCCTGCTGAGGCAGTGGACCCCAGGAATCCTGACTCGAAGGACAGTGTTCCCTCAGGTTCACAGCTGCCCAGCTTTAATTTGGAGCCTCTGGAGTGAGCTAGACTTCAGGTTTTCCTGACTGCAAAATGAGGAGGTAAACAACTGCCAGAGGCTTCCCCACTCCAGGCAATGTGATTCTGAAAAGCTGTTTGTTGGCTGTGGGGGGAAAACTGCTCCTGCTTTGGAGTCAGAAAAACTGGAAAAAATATTCCCACCTGTCACTTCTTAGCTGTGAGCCCAGGCTCCATCCTGTGTGAGTGGGGCTAAGAATTCCCACCAGTCAGCGGAGAATGCACCTGTAACCTATTTGGCTCCCAACAGCCTCTCAAGAAGGGCAGCAGCTATAACTTGGAGAGGTTTTACCACAGCTACACAGCTCTTCTGCATCCCCGCACACAGGCTGCCTCCTAGGAAGGACAACCTGGAGGCAACCATAAAGAAAGGAAATAACGAGCTGCCCAGCCCTGCATTGCACTGTGCACAGTAAACCGGGAGGTCTGCTGGGGCACAGGTTGTTATCTCGACAGGTAAACAGGAACCCTGTCCGCTCCCTGACCACCGTCAGCATTGGGCCACCACAAACGCTCTGGGCACAGCACTACAGCTTGTGAGGACACCACTGCTCTTTGGCCTGTATTTTCGCACTCCCCTTTCCCTGCAGCTGCTGGCATCATCACTGGGCACACACTCATTAATGAACACTACACCCACTCCAGCCTTTCCCTGGCTACTTGCTCCAAAAGGGTGGTCCCAAGTGACTCAAAGCTGCCTTCTGCACCTTGCTCTTTTCCATCCACGGAGACCAAAACACAGACCCCAGAAGACTATTTAAAAAAAAAAAAAAAAAAAAAAAAAAACCCTCAGGCAGCAGTTTCTGCTTCGTTGTCACATCTGAGAGGCACTGTGGTCACATAAAGGCTGTTGGCTTACTTTTTTCTCCATCGTAGGGCAAGAGGGAGGCAACACCCAGAAATTATCCCAATTTTACAGAAACAAAGACAAAGAGCTACGTGGCCTAGCCAAAGGCAACAAGGAGCAGGCCTAGAGCCACTCTGAGAGGCAGAGCCCAGCAGCAGCAAGGCTCAAGTGACTCCCATCTCCCTGGCAGAGATCGTCTGGTCCCTGTGCTCCGAAAGGTGTCCTAAAGATCATGGGGACTCCAAACCATGAAAGCAACCAAAGATTGCTGTACAGTGCGGTTCAAAAAAGTTACTGAGTGCCTTCAGTCCAGGATCTCCTAGTTGATTAGGGAGTACTGATACCTAGGTTAAGAAGCTCTGATTTCATTCATTACAAATATTTATCAAACCACTGCCAGGACACTGTGGCAACCACATCCTGCTGTTTTTATTAGGAGCCATTGCCAAAGCTTGATCCTCTCCCCCACCTTCCGGTATCTGTGAAGTTTTCAGTTTCTATCAAACTCTAGCTAGGGGAGGGAACTGGGGCTGGCCTTAGTGGAGTAAAGTTCCACCACCAGGTCCACAAAGAGACTGCAGGGAGGCGTGGCCAGGCCGGAAATTCTGACAAAAAGTTTTGGCCCTCCGGTGCTAGAAGCAACTACTTCCTGATCGCTCCTAGTCCTTAGGGGGTGCAGTTCTCTGGCTGAGTGCCCCGCCGGTGAGCCGAGCTGAGGGCTGCCACCGCGGTGGGGGGAGGGGGGACGTCTGGTCTCCGCACTCCGATGCGCTCCGCTAGTACCTGGAGCAGGGGAGTCTAACCCCCTGCCTCCCAAAGGCTAAAGTTACTTTGGAGCACAGTACCCCCAAAGTGTGAGCTCCAGAGGGCAGGGCCGCCTCCTCCACACTCCCTCACCCCTATCTGCAACCCAAGGCCTGCGCTTTGAGGACTCGAACCCGGCCCAGACCCCGGGGCCCAGGATTGCTCTGATCCGAGAAAGGAAAAAGAGAAGCCAAGGAAACCTCGGACGGACACCGGGGGCGCTCGCGGAGGCCTGGGGCTCCGCTGCCCCCGCCCCGCCCGCCAAGAGAGCGCCTTCCAGGGGCCCTGGCCGGCCTCCCACCTTGACCCGCTTGCCCTGGATCTCCAGCGTCTTCATCGTGAAGTCGACGCCGATGGTGCTTCCCTGGCGCTCCGAGAAGGCGCCGGTCTTGAAGCGCTGCACCACGCACGTCTTCCCCACGCTCGCGTCGCCCACCAGCACCAGCTTGAACAGGAAATCGTACTGCTCGTCTGGGTCTCCGGGGCCCGGGCCCGGCCCCGCCATGGCCTAGAGGGAGCCGAAGGACAGGCGCTCTGGACGCTGGGACCGGTCTGAGCTCACGCAAGCCGCGGGGCAAGCTTCACTCGCTCCAGCCTGCGGGCCGCTAGGCTACGTGGAGCAGCCGCAACACCTGAACCTCCGGCGCAGCCGACCGCCTGCCTCGGCCTCGGCCCCGCCCCACCCTGGCTGGGTCCCGCCCCTGCTCGGCTCGGCCACGCCCGACCCCGGAGCTCCGCGGGTTCGGCTCCGCCCCGGACCCGCCAAACCCGGCCCTCCGCAAAACTCCGGCCGGCCCTAAGCTCCGCGCCAGGCCAGTCCGGCCTGTAGGCCCGCCCCAGCCTGTCCGGGACTCCGCCCCACCCCGGCTCCCCACTCAGCCCGGCACCCACTCCTTCCCCCGGGCCCAACCCTCCGGCCCACCTCAGCCCGACCTCGGTTCCGCCTACGTCCCCGCCCCCAGACTCCGCCCTCAGGCCCACCTCAGCGCACCCCGACTCCGCCCTCAGGCCTACCTCAATCCGCCCCGACTCTGCCCTCAGCCCAACCTCGACTTCGCCCCTAGCCCCTCAGCCCACCGCCCTCGGCCCAACCTCGACTCCACCCACAGGCCTACCTCAACCCCGACTCCGACTCCGCCCAATCCCGACTCCGCCCGACCCGACTCCGC